AATAGAGTCATACGATCTTAATGGTTTAGATTTAATTCAATTTTTAAAAAAGTCAGGATTATTACTACAACGGCTTAGGCTTGAGTCTAATAATAGAATTCAATCACAATACCAATTATTTATGGCTCTTGAGACATTCTGTCCAAACATTACATATCTAAACATTTCAAATTTTAATTTTACCTCTCAAGTTTTCACACTTATTTTAAATCTACGCAAGCTTCAATTCCTTACTTTAGAATGGTTTAATAATGGATCTAATGAAGATATGGAAAAGCGAATTAAGCAATTTGCAAAACTATTACCACCAACTTTACAATATCTTGAATGGAATGGGATAGGAGTATATTCAAATCCGTGTATTGATATTTTATTAGATCATTGTGATGCTCCTTTAAATAAATTTTTATTTTTTGTTATGAAGGAATACTATGATTATTATCGTTATTGGATGGTGACTGAAAGATATAATTGTAGAAAAGTGGCCAATTCATTAGTTAGATTTTATATGCGGAAAAAACTTTAAAGTATGTGTATGTCAGGGGTATTGTGTTGGATAATCTTCAAGAATATTTAGGGGAAAATATTGAAGTAATACCAAAAAGGCGTGACATTATTGTTAAATGCTAATCAGATGTTTATTAAATTGCAATTGGCATCAAAATGACTATTCATATAAAAAAATCTATATTATAAGAATGTATTTAGCAGGTAGCTCATTATCATTTATCGAATACACAGATCTAAATTAGAATTTGGCATACACTTTGTTCTACTACATTCTTTGATATATCTAATAAAGTACGTACTTACATATATACCATTCTATATATGTATAGTTATTAAAATTTTACTAGACCGAAATCTATATAAAAATTAAATTGGCATATAATTAATTTTGTTAATATATGCATCCATATTTCCTTTTAAAACTAATTTTACGTAGTGATTGAAAAAACGAATTACCAATCATTGATCGCGAGTTCTTTACAGTAATCAGACATTATTAATCTTCTGATCATATAAAAATCAAATTAAATTCACAATAGCTTGACTTAATAATTTACATTTGAACGATTTCCAAAAGGTTCCAGAACAAATAAACTATTTAAAGATCAAATTTTGATTTTTTAATAGAGAAAATTATGAATTGGGCATTGATGTTCAAAAATTCAGAGTTTGACAAATCCATTATATAATGTTTTTAATTACGAATTACGAAATATATATGTGAAAATTTGAATTTAAAATTTTGCCTTATACAATACATATCAATACCGGACTCATCTGACATGACCAGGATCAATCCGGTTTCTTCGTCTTATGCAATTTTTCATATTAACCTTTAAACATTGAAAAAATATTTGTTAATAAAAAGTTCTAGTTGCAAAGAAATAAATAGTTTATTAATCAATTCCACTCTAATGCTTAAATTACATTTGTAATCACAATTACTAAAAGATACCAATAGTTTTTTTTTTCTAAAAAAAAAAACTTATATTTAAAAAATAAATTACATTATTTGGTGAACTAATGAATCAACTACTCATAAGAAACTTTCCATAGAAAAAGCTAATTCCTTTAACCAAAAAGTTTCAAAAAAAATTTTTTTTTTTAATCCATTCACCAAAAAAATATATTTTACATCAAAAAAAAAAAAGAAGTTAAATCATTCTATATTCACAATCAAGTAAAGTACCTAAAATCTATTTGACAGTAAAACGAACACAATCATCTTGGGCACCACGTTGAGCGACAGGCATAAGCACAGGTTGATGACCAAAAGAACTGCTCATTGTGCAGACTCTGTAACTTCCAGCTGTCAAACCTGGTGTTTTACCATCTTTTTGAACAACAGCAACAGTTAAGACGCCATTGTTTGCTGGATCATTTAACCCCTTGAAAAATTCAAAAGTTTTAGCATTTGGAGCTGTATTAGTATTGATATTACCAATATTTTGAATGGTAATGTGGGAATGTCCATCAATAACTCCATTTTTACCAAGTTGTTGTGAAAATTTGTAATATTGATTATCAGGATTATCAAAAAATCCTGTATTCAAATTGAGTACATTGCAAGTAACATTGAATGGTGTATTGGCAGGAATGGTTTGTCCAAATTGAGGGTTTGTTATTATGGTTGAGGTCATTGCACTGGAAGCTGGTATTTCACCCAGTTGAGTTGGGACACAAAAAGAATTATTTGACTGTAAACCGTTAGTTTGTGTAAGGCCATCATTATTACAAGGGTTGGCAGAAGGGTTATTAGGTGTTAGACCAGAATCTTGTTGTTTGGCATTATTAGCTGGAGGAGCTTGTTGTTTGGCATTATTAGCTGGAGGAGCACCCTTAGCTGGAGGAGCACCCTTAGCTGGTGGAGCACCCTTAGCTGGTGGAGCACCCTTAGCTGGTGGAGCACCCTTAGCTGGTGGAGCACCCTTAGCTGGAGGAGCACCCTTAGCTGGAGGGAAGGGAGATGCTTCAATAAAATCTAAAACTATTAAAACAAGTGCAACAACAAAAATAACGAGGGAGGCCTTCATTTTTAGTGAATTAAAATTTTAATGATTGTGATAAGTAATGAATTTCTTCAAAGTTAATTGCACCAGGCAATTGTATGAAAGGAGTAGAAATGAAAGTTACTCTATTTATGCTTCAAGCAATAAACGCGATTGAGTGAGGGAAAAGATGCTTAGGGCATGCTCTTTATATATTTGAGATTTCATTGCATTTGTGTTATTAAAGATTAATTATTAATAAGAACTTTAAAGTATTAAGATGATCTTTTTATGAGAGAAATTTTAACGCGTAACCAAATAAATTGAACTTGATTTACTGGAAAAGCCATTTGATTCATGACTATTCAAATCTAAAGTAGGGTTAAGTAAATCAATGTTTGATGTTAATAAAAAACCTTTTTTTGTATCGGTTAGATCCGGTCCTTTGTAATTGTTTGAGGGAAACTACACTATCTTTGGTGATTAAGTTGCTGATTTCATTAGAACAAATTAGCAGCATATCCAACTCAACATTATTTATACACACGTATATCATTATAATAATTTATAATATTTTTTATTATCATTGATATTCTTTTGAACTTTAAGCAATTTCTAATTTAAGAATTTTGTAATCATTCTTTTGTAAATTAATCCCATGCGCCAAGAGTTTTTTTTTTTAAAAAAAAAAAAAATTCCTACATTTTATAACAAAAAGAATAACGATTTTGTATAAATATACTAACCATTAAATTTTTTTTTGAAAGACTACTAAAATGGAATTGATGCTTAATTGAATTACCATATTTAAAATATATATATATATAAGTCAAATGACTTTCTCATTAGTTTCATTAGTTTTATTATTTTGGTAATCTTGTGATCTTTTTTTATTACAAGTTCATCCATTTATGTATCTACATCAAAACCGAATTAGCAAATATTTGATATAGTATATTTATTAAATTTCATACAACTCCGAGATTTTCAAACCAATCGATATTTTGATCTTCGTATTAACTCGAAACTTACTAAATATCGACTATATTGTTGTATAATTGTTACCAAGTATGTACGACGTACATAAAATATGCATGTACTCTTATTTTGTTAACATAATAGAGATTTACCTAAACATTCTTTTATATTTTTATTGGTTACACTATAATTATCTGCGACCAATAAGAACTACAGAAAAGCGAAGCGATGTGATGTGATGGCTGATTTATGAGCCATTTCTGCCGCAGTTTCCATTTAACGATAATTACATGACTATTAAAATCACTAAAATTGCTTAACTTCTTAATTACGACAAACCAAATTTTTTAATACAGTATAAAGCGCAATTGAGTCGTAATTAATGACCCACACCCATTGGTTATATTATTGTAGTTGATCCCTAAAGTGACTCGTTATTAAATCTTAATAAAATTAGCCAAACAATTTAAAAATAATTTATAAGGTAAATGTGTCATATTACTGTTCCTGAAAATCATTTCCTTTGATCTGATCTACAGAACTTACTGATGTTTTTTATGTTTGATGATTTGATTAGTAATAGTCAAGGATTCAAAATTTTGTAAATAAATTTTGACTCCTAATCAAATATTTGCAAAATTTAATTATGTCCTAAAATTTTCGAAAAGCCCTGTCGGAAGACATTCATATGTTTGGTTAATTTTTGTGAATTTAATGTCCGCGATAATTAACCAATCAAATTACATAATTTTTAAAACGTTTATCATTTTAATACTACAGTACTAGAAAACTTCGTTTAAAGAAACTTACAAACCAATAATTACATACAAAAAATTTATCGCATAAAGTTAGAAAACAGATAGATACGCGTAAAGTGGGATGAATGTAATATTTAATTGTGAGGGACCAACATGAGGTCAATTAGTATTTTTATGATTACTAATAATTGGTGGACTTTAAATACTAATTGACCTCCTCACGCTGGAACCAACCTCATGTTGGTCCCTCACATTTATTACTAAAACCCGAACTCATTAAAGAGTTAATACGTGAACAAATCATTAGCGAAACTAAATTCTTTATTTCTTATCTTTTGAAAAAATCAAAGTAATTCATTATCATGACCTTTATTAGAGATATGACACGACCTTTAGCTCATGTAATTAATGAAACAATAATACTCATACAGTATACCCTACTACTTAACCCGAAGTTACTAATGTTTTAACTTTATAATAGTATATTCAGAAAACGTGTATTAGTATAAGATATTTGTTATAATAGCATGTTAAACAGTATAAATAAAGTTCTTTAGATTAGATCTTAAACGTAACGTCTCAATCTTCTTTTTTTTTTTTGTTGGCCGTTTCTAGCATTAGAGCTTACGTACAGTTAATATGACTAATATTACAATAATGTCTGACTATGACTTCCATTAAGAATAAAATATAGCCAATCAAATCTGAAATTATTCCAAAAATTGAATTTTGATTGGATACTTAAAATTTATTGATCATACCAAAATAAAATGGAATTTTCCTGCCCTGTATGAGTTTCGAGTTTTAAAACCCCTGAAGCCGAAAAAACCAAATTCAGCCAATCAATGTGCGTCATTTTATTTCCAGGTCAGAAAAATCATGGCCAAACCGTGGCCGGGTCCAGTCTTCGGTTCGGGTCCGTGATACACTACTTAATAATATGAAAGATTATATTAATTTTACCACTCATCTCAACGAATTTTGAAGCTGCTATGATTAATAGTCAACGTAAAGTTTAAGTTCTATGCACTTCTTTGACTATTAAACTATCCAAATAGCTTCGCAATTCATCGATATATGAGAGGTAAAATTAAATTATTAATTTTTGTTTAAAAATGTCAGTTGTCTGTTTTCTATTGACGGCAGCCCATATAGTCAACACTCTATGAGTACTGCCAAGAGAAAATGGAAATTCAATCCATTTTATACATTCCGTAGAAATTAGTTGCGGTTGTGCCGAAAGTCAATTCATTTATGTCATAATCCAAAACGAAGCCGAATTTAAAAATATATGATTCTCACGATTGATTATCAAATTAAATTAATCTTTATATAACTCCTAGATCAACATTTTTCTAGACCAGTTCTCATATATTAGTTAGTTGTAGTTATGTAATTTATACGTGACAAATTATACTATCGCTATAATATGGAGTTTACTAACTTTCCTCATCACTTCACTATCGTTACTTTTTTTTTACTGATACTAAATTTATAAAAATAACATTAATAAGTTAAAAGTCATTTTATTAGCGAAAATATACTTCATTCACATAATACGTAGATATTAATAGTGTTACGTAAATTTATGATCCCAAAATCTAAAATTTTTGGTATTACTCTGGAAGTGTTATATGTCCATTATTATTCTGGAAGTGTTATATGTCCAATATTATTCTGGAAGTGTTATATGTCCAATATTATTCTGAAGTGTTATATGTAAAATGTTTCCCCAATGTACTATCATATATTCCTGTATACTAAAGTTATCGGATGATTTTGTTATTAATATTGGTCTTTTAATATACCGATTTTTTATAACTTTGTTAATTAAAAAACTGAGTTCTGACTTTAAAAAAATCTTGATCACGTTATATCTGATCTTGCATCCTGATTGGTCAATTAAGAAGATATTGAGATTTTTGATTTTGATTAAAGCCTTGGTTCTTATTTATGCTCTGCGCAATTTATTCCACGTCGAAATTAATAAATTAACGAGATACTTGGGATGTGAAAAAATTAATTCTTCGAAGATAACCCTTGTTTGTACAAAAAAATTTATAACAATACAAATATACGACAGGAATACATTCATGTGGTTTACTGACTTATTAAAAAAGACTCAATAACGAATAACGAATAAACGATTTATGATTATCGTATAGCGATAGCGAAAATTGTTCTCTATTCATGCATTACATCATAATTCTATTATCTTTATAACTACCTTTACTAAAGATACATCACTAATCTATATCGATATTGTTGATTAAACAATTTAGTACTCGCCACAATCAAACAAAAATTTGATAGTCAAAATACTTGTGATTGAGTCGGACATCAAATAATCGCAGATCAACCAATACTACATATATATTTGGAGGTCGTCTAAAGCAGGTAGTTTTTAAATTGATTACTAACAAATTTGTAAATTAAAAATCACGTGATATGTATAAATTACTACCTGGCTTTAGACGATCCCAATATTTGGCGATCGTTTGACGTCCGACTTAACCAAAAGTATTTGATTATCAAATTTTTGTTTGATTGGCACAGAGTACTAAAACAATTAGAGTTCCAATCCGGTTAGCATTTATCCGGATAATTGGATAAAATTATCGATTATCTATCGGATTATCCGGATATCTTATTGGTTTATCCGATCTGGATAATTCCACAGGGGAAAACGTTGATACGTCACAAAATCGTTACACAATTGATAAAATTTTTTTTATATTATTTTACAATACTTTTTTGGAAGGCTCGCTTGACTTATCTTTTATATGAATATTGAAAATGGTTAAACAAACATGAAGCTCTCACTTTGCTTTACAACATATTTTTTGAATCCCTTTGAATCCCATGGTTTCGTCTTTTTGTAAATTTCGCAATTTGATTGGTTGACTAATCCCGTGACTGATCGATACGTGATCTGTGTAACGGAGAATGAATATCATATCTATATTTGGACGTTTCCTCCTGTTGGATAATTCAGATATGGATAAACGGATGACGTATTTATCCGTTACACCCGTATTAGTGATAAAAATACTAATGAACAAATTGTTACCTTAAAAGATAATACGTATATATATACAAAATAATACGTACTATATATATGGAGTTATCTTAAAGATAATACAAAATATATAATACTATATGGAGTTATCTTAAAGATAATACAAAATAATACGTACTATATATATGGAGTTATCTTAAAGATAATACAAAATATATAATACTATATGGAGTTATC